AGTAGTAGTAGTAGTAGTAGTGGAAGTAGTAGCGGTGGTAGTAGTAGTAGTAGTAGTAGTAGTAGTAGTAGTCGCAGTCGTAGAAGCCGTAGTCGTATTAGCAGTCGTTGTCGTAGTAGTAGTAGTAGTAGTCGTAGTAGTAGTAGTAGTAGTAGTAGTCGTAGTAGTAGTAGTAGTAGTAGTAGTAGTAGTAGTAGTAGTAGTCGTAGTAGTAGGAGAAGTAGTAGTAGCAGTAGCAGTAGCAGTAGTAGTAGTAGTAGTAGTAGTAGTAGTAGTAGTGGTAGTAGTAGTAGTAGTAATAGTAGTAGTAGTAGTAGTAGTAGTAGTAGGAGTAGTAAGCGTCGTCGTCGTCGTAGTCGTAGTCGTAGTCGTAGTCGTTGTTGCAGCAGTAGTAGCAGGAATAATCGTAGTTTGTGTAATAGTTTGAGCAGTCGTAGTTAGAATAGAAGTAGTCGTAGTAGTAGTAGTAGTAGTAGTAGTAGTCGTAGTAGTAGTAGTAGTAGTAGTAGTGGTAGTCGTGTTAGTAGCAGTTTTAAGGTACTCGTGGTGGTATCAGAACTAGTAGTCGTAGTAGTCCTTGTCGTTGTCGTAGTAGTAGTAGAACTAGTAGTAGCCGTAATCGTAGTAGTAGCAGTAGTACTAGCAGTAGCAGTAGCAGAAGTAGTAGTAGCAGAAGTAGTAGTAGTAGTCGTAGTAGTAGGAGTAGTAGTATTCGTAGTAGTAGTAGTAGTAGTAGTAGTAGTAGTAGTAGTAGTAGTCGTAGTCGTAGTCGTAGTAGTATTGGTAGCCTTAGTAGTAGTAGTAGTAGTAGTAGTAGTAGTAGTAGTAGTAGTAGTAGCAGTAGCAGTAGCAGTAGCAGTAGCAGTAGTAGTCGTCGTAGTAGTAGTAGTAGTAGTAGTAGTAGTAGCAGAAGCAGTAGTAGTAGTAGTAGTAGTAGTAGTAGTAGTAGTAGTAGCAGTAGCAGTAGCAGTAGCAGTAGCAGTAGCAGTAGCAGTAGCAATAGTAGTAGGAATTGTGTTAGTGTAGTGGTAGTGGTCGTAGTAGTTGCCGTAGTAGTGTTAGTACTTGTCGTAGTAGTCGTAGTAGTAGTCGTCATTGTCGTCGTCGCCGTACTCTAAGTAGCAGTTGGCGTTGTCCTAGTCGTGGTTGTTGCTGTAATACCAGCTGATGAAATAGACTATGTATCCGCAGTCGTAGTTACTCATCGAGGCCCTGGTTATTTTAGAGGCAGTTGTTTCAGTAACTGTATTCGTATTATTTCGAAGCCCTTACGGCCGGCGCCGCCGACCCTGAAGGGAAACGAGGACGACAACGGCGGCGGCGACGACGCCGACGCCGACGTGGGCCAGAGCCCTCAGGGATGCTTCTTGGGGTCTCTTGGGAGCCTCTAGTGGGCCTCTTAGGGCTTCCCGGGGATCTCTTGTAGGCCTCTTGGGGCCTCTTGGGAACCTCGTAGGGCCTCCTGGGAGCCTCTCGGGGCCGTGGGCTCGAAATGTTCGTTCGGGTCCCCCCGTCTGGGCACGCTCTTGGAGCCGTCTTGGGGGCCTCCTGGGCCGTCTTGGAAGTGTTTTTGGCTGGCTTGGGGTCCTCTTGGGCTGTATTGGGGCCCCCTTGCAGGCCTCTCGGGTCGTCTTGGGGCGATCTTGGGGGCCCCTCGCGCTGTTTTTGGAGCGGGATGCCCAAATCTTGCAAAAACCTACGGGAATCAGTGAATTTGGCCTCTTGGGCCCCCTCGGGGGTGCTCTTGGAGGCTTCTTGGGGCGTCCTGGAGGCGTCCTCGGCAGTCTGGAGGGCGTGAAGGCGTTTTGGATTGATCGTTTGGCGATTGGGGGCCCTCTTGGACCGTCTCGGGTGTCTCTTGGGGCACTCTTGGCCTGTCTTGGTGCTTCCTGAGGCCATGGGACCCCCAGGGGGGGATGCGCATTTGTCCCGCGCCCCCCAGACTCCCGCGGGACTCACTCCGGGACCTCCCCCGGGAACCCCCCCCCCTGCCCCTCCTGGGACAGCCCCCCCCGACGGGGGAGCGATCAAAGGGAAGGGGCTCCCCTCCGACTCGCTTACGGCATTGCTACATTTTTCGGTCGCTGGCAAGCTTGAGGAGGGTGCAGGGAAAGGGGACGACGGAGACGACGACTGACGGAGACGACCACTCGAACAGACAAGCCCTTCACACACGCCGGCAGGGTCGGTGGATTGTTCGTCGTCGTAAAAGGAGTTCATTGCTAGTAGGTTGTAGTCAGTAGTGGTTGCCGCAGCAGGCATGATATTAGTCGTAGAATGAGTGGCAGAAGTAGTAGAAGTAGTCGTCGAATTGTAGCAGCAGTAGTAGGACCAGCAGAAGAAGTAGTGGTCGTAGCAGTGGTAATCGTCGCCGCCGTCGTCGTAGCAGTAGCAGTAGTAGCAGTAGCAGTAGCAGTAGTAGTAGTAGTAGTAGTAGTAGTAGTAGTAGTAGTAGTAGTAGTAGTAGTAGTAGTAGTAGTAGTGGTAATGGTAGATGTTAGTAGTAGTAGTAGCAGCAGCAGCAGCAGTAGTAGTAGTAGTAGTAGTACTAGTAGTAGTAGTAGTAGTAGTAGTAGTAGTAGTAGTAGTAGTAGTTGTAGTAGTAGTAGTAGTAGTAGTAGTAGTAGTAGTAATGGTAGTGGTAGTAGTAGTAGTGGTAGTGGTAGTCGTAGTGGTAGTGGTAGTTGTAGTGGTAATGGTAGTGGTAGTGGTAGAGGTAGTTGTAGTGGTAGTAGTAGTAGTAGTAGTAGTAGTAGTAGTAGTAGTAGTAGTAGTAGTAGTAGTAGTAGTAGTAGTAGTAGTAGTAGTAGTAGTAGTAGTAGTAGTAGTAGTAGTAGTAGTAGTAGTAGAAGCAGTTGTAGTAGAGTAGTAGTCGTCGTCGTCGGTCGTCGTAGTCGTAGTAGTAGTAGTAGTAGTAGTAGTCGTAGTAGTAGTATAGTAGTAGTATAGTAGTAGTAGTGTAGTATTAGTAGTAGTTATGGTGGTGGTAGTAGTAGTAGTAGTAGGTGGTGGTAGTAGTAGTAGTAGTAGTAGTAGTAGGTAGTAGTAGTAGTAGTAGTAGTAGGTAGTAAGTAGTAGTACAGTATAGTAGTAGTAGTAGTAGTAGTAGTAGTAGTAGTAGTTAGTAGTAGTCTAGTCGTAGTAGTAGTAGTAGTAGTAGTAGTAGTAGTAGTAGTAGTAGTAGTAGTAGTAGTAGTAGTAGTAGTAGTAGTAGTAGTAGTAGTAGTAGTAGTAGTAGGTAGTAGTAGTAGTAGTAGTAGTAGTAGTAGTAGTAGTAGTAGTAGTAGTAGTAGTAGTAGTAGTAGTAGTAGTAGTAGTAGTAGTAGTCGTAGTCGTAGTCGTAGTCGTAGTCGTAGTCGTAGTCGTAGTAGTCGTAGAAGTCGTAGTAGTCGTAGTAGTCGTAGTAGTCGTCGTCGCATGTTCCAGGTGGCGTTCAAGGCCAGGGACCTCACGAGGACCGCGGAAGTCCCCAACCCTGAGGATTTTTCAGGGGTGAGTGTTTCCAGAGAGGATCACACGGCGGCCGCATTTAAGCTTGTTTGCATGCGTGCCCCTTTGCACGGCAAGTGGCAAGACATGGCGGACCTCATGCTTGCGAAGCACAACGTGTATGTGGCGATTGCCACGCTTCTTACGGCGACGGCCATAGTCAACAACCCGTTGACTGTGGCCCAGAACTTCGCCAATGAAAAGGCGCAACCTGCAGAGGCCTACAAGAACTGGGTCCAAAGCCCCGCATACGGGCCCCGCTTGGCGCGCCTCCCTGCACAGTCAGCCTTCCAGAGTTCCGCGGAGAGGCGGCACAGTGTCGGCGCGCTGCGGGACGAGGCCCCCCCGCCCTCGGGCGGGGTCCTTTCCTGGTCTCTGGCCACAAGCGCTCCGCCTGAGGCGAGCGCGCTGGCTGCACGTTGATTCGCGGCGTGAGAGTCCCAGGAACGGCGTTCTGCCACGATCGGGGATTCTCATGTGTTTCTCTTCATAAGTCCTGTGTCACAATGGTTGTACATTCTGGTCGCGTAACCCCACCAGCCCATCCAGGGACGATGCCCAGAGGAGTTGCCTCGATCAGGGGAGTGGGCGGCACATAGAAGAAGGGTCCCTCTTGGAGCGCTCTTGGAGGCCTCTTGGGAGCCTCTTGTGGCCTCCTGGGCGCCTCTTGGGGCCCTCTTGAGGCGCTCTTGGGAGCCTTGGGAGCGCTCTGGCGCCCCTATTGGGGCGCTCTTGGAGCGCTCTTGGGGCCGTCTTGGGGCTCTCTTGGGTCTCTCTTTGAGCCCTCATGCGCCGTCTTGGAGCTGTCTTGAGGCCTCGGAAGGCCATCGGAAGCAAGCAGGCGAGCAAGCAAACAACATTGCTTTCTCGCAGGTTTTGGACGGATTCTGGCCTCTTGGCGGCCTCCTGGGGAGGCTCCGTGGCCACCTGGGGCCGTCGTGGAGCGTTCTTGGGGCCTCTTGGAGCATTTGGGTGGGTATTTTGGGGCATTATGGGCTATCTTGAGCCATCTTGGAGGTCATCTTGGGCTCTCCTAGGCGCTTTGGGAGCCGTCTTGGGACACCTTGGACGCTACAATACGTCGCGAACCCCCCCGTCCAGGTCCAGGGAGTGTGGGAGAGGCGTGACCTCTCCGAATGGGAAGAAGGGAGTTGGAAGAGAAAACTATTTAGACCACCTACGCCCAGAGGGCTAGTGGGATTCTTGTAGGGACCGATGGGCAGGGAACTTGGAGGTTAGGGGTTGTTGCCAAACCGTTGACGCGTCTTGGGGCACTGGTCCTCCTCGTCGTCCTCCCCCTCCGGAGCCACTGGCGGCTTCCCTGAAACCATAAACGGCTTTCCAGAGGGCGCGAGGGCTTCCAAGAAGCCCTGCTGCCCTCTGAGGAGGCCTGCCCCCCTCTCACTCCCCCCTGGGCTCGCCGCCGCCAAATGTAGGTTTACCCCTCCCCCCCCGCTGTCGCCCTCATGCGGTCCCCTCCCCGCTGTCGCCCTCATGCCGCCCCGGGGCAGGCCATGCTGTGCACGAGGAACACGCTGGTGGCGGGCGGCGAGAGTCTTGGCGACCCGTGCCCCCGTTGCAGGAAGAGGCTGCTGGTGCTGGTGAAGGCCCCCCCACCCCCGCACTCTCGGGTTTCTGCGGGCTCGGGGGCGGTCCCAATTAGCATGAAGGAGTCTAGGCCTCCCAGATAGGCTCAGATGATGATGATGATGACGATGCTGATGCTGATGATGATGACAATGATGCTGATGCTGCTGATGTTAATGTTTATGATGGTGTTGCTGATGATGAGGGTGATGATGATGCCGATGCTGATGATGATAAGGATGATGATTGCAATGGTGATGATGATGCCGATGCCGATGTGATGGGATGATCATGATGATGGTGATCACGCGGATGCTGATGACGTCGATTATGATGCTGATGCTGGTGATATCAAAGAAGAATATGATGCTGTTGATGCTGATGATGCTGATGCTCATGCTGATGATGATGATGATGACCATGATGATGATGATGATGATGATGATGAGGATGATGATGCTGAGGGTTATGACGACGATGCTGTTGATTCTGATGTTGGTGACGAGGATGTCGATGACGATGCTGATGATGATGCTGATGGTAATGATGATGATGATGATGATGATGATGTTTTTGCTGATGAGGCGGGTGCTGATGATGAGGAGGACGTTGTTGTTTCTGGTGATGATGCTGATGATGATGATAATGAGTACGATTATGGTTATGATTAGGACAATGATGATGCTTAAAGTGAGTATGATGCTGCTGATAATGGTGAGTATGATGATGCTGGTGACGCTGATGATGATGATGATGATGATGATGATGATGATGATGATGGTGATGGTGGTGATGGTGATGATGATGGTGATGATGATGATGATGATGATGTTGTTGATGGTGATGATGATGACGATGATGACGATGATGATGATGGTGCTGGTGATGGTGATGATTACTATGATGATGGTGATGATTATGATGATGATGATGATGATGATGATGATGATGATGATGATGATGCTGATGCTGATGCTGATGATGATGATGATGATGATGATGATGATGATGATGATGATGATGATGGGTCCCTCGAGGGCACGCATGTCGCCTATCGAGGGCACGCTTATCGAGCCCCCTTCCATTGGCCACGAACTACGCACTCCCACACTCAGCGTGTACCTCGGGTGGGCGCTCAGCGTGTACCTCGGGTGGCCGCTGAGAGGTTTTGCACTTGGCCCATTCACCCGATCCGTTCTCAACGGGCTCCGGCAGTGCACGCTATGCGTCGCATCCTGACCGTATATGGGATCGCAGGATCGTGCCGCATCGCCGATGCATCGGCGATGCGGCTCTGTGTGGAGTTTCATTCCCTTCACGCCGACTGCGCCGATGCATCGCCGACGTCTCCGATTCACCGCCGATGCGTCGGCGATGCGTCGGCCGTCCAGCTCGATCCTCCGACCCCATCTGCGCGAACCCTGCATATGTGGGAGGCCTCCAGGGGAGATTCCACTCGGCATGGAGGAAGCGGGTCCTGGAGCAGAGGGGTCCTGGAAAAAAGCGTTGCCGCTCGCGGGCCCCGTGGGGCCCTCCGCCGGGCCCCCGGGGCCGTCGGGAGGCGGCGCGTGGAGGAATGGCAGGCCCGTGGGAGATGCCGCGGGGTCTCGAGGACCCGTTTCTCTCATTAGGGGGGCAAAAAGTAGCATAAACATAAAAACTCGGAGGTCCGCGCGGATTTCTCGGATCGGCGCTGGGGTCCCCGGCGGCGCCTCCGGCGCCGCCCCTGGCGCGCTCCGCGCGCCAGGGAGGGGGGTCCAGCGCCGATCCGAGAAATCCGCGCGGACCTCCGAGTTTTCATATTTATGTCGCCTTTTGTTCCCCTACTCATGACCCCTATCTTGCATGGTGGTCTACGGGCCCCAGACGACGGGAAGCCATTCCACGGCATCGAGCATTTTCAGGCACGTTCGAGCTTCCAGGAAAAAAAAACCGGCCAGGCCTCAGTTGAGACAGGCTGAGGTCATCGGCGCTGGCCACGTCAGAGGGCTCTATCGCCTCTGCCCACGAGTGGTTGGTCTACGGGCCCCGGGGAATCTCCAGGAGGGCGAAGAGGGCCGTGGTCCGCGGGAGGGCGAAGAGGGCGAAGAGGGCCGTGGTCCGCGGGAGGGCGAAGAGGGCGAAGAGGGCCGTGGTCCGCGGGAGGGCGAAGAGGGCGAAGAGGGCGAAGAGGGCCGTGGAAGCGCTGCTCAGTGACCCGCAGGAGGGCGAATATGGGCCGTGGTCCGCGGTCGGGGCCGCAGAGCTGCCCAGCTCCGGCGGCGCGGCGCGAGGGCGTGGAGGCATTCGCGCGTCGCGCTCGGTTGAGGAGGGAACAAAAACACACAGACACAATTCGTCGTCGATTCCCCCGAAAATATAGGAACATATGGGAAGTGGGGGGAAGACAAGAAGCCATAAAATATAGGAACAGATGGGGCATCTTTTTGTTTGTGTGTATTTATGTCTGTGTGTCCCAGGGCCCCTTCATAGTTGAGGGTGGAGAGGGGGAGAAGGGGGAGCCTGACCTCGGTTTCCTTCATTTGTTCTAGCCACCGGGCCCCAGAACTCTCGACCCCTCTCCAATGAGTTCTAGGCTTTTTCATCCTGAGCCGTTTGCGTCGGCGGTCCTGGGGCCTCTCTGGAGGTCGATGGTGGCGTCAGAAACATCGGTCACGGTCCTTGCCCGTTGCCAGAGGTTTGGGGAGGGGGCCACGAAGAAGGAGCATCGCCATGCAGGGTTTGGGTCCAGAGGGAAGCGAGTCCCAAGATTACTTCGCTGTTGTTGGCTCCCGTTCACGTGCCCAGGGCTGTCAGGAAACAACTCAGGACGAGAAGCTGGCCCTGGGGAGAAGGCCCAGTGGTCCAGGACCCGTTTCCTTAATGGCCCGTCTGCTGCATGCCAGGATGAGAAGGAGGGTCGTCGTCGTCGTCGTCGTCGTCGTCCTTGTCGTCATCGTCCTTGTCATCGTCGTCCTTGTCGTCGTCTTCGTCGTCGTCGTCGTCGTCGTCGTCGTCGTCGTCGTCGTCGTCGTCGTCCTTGTCGTCGTCGTGTCGTAGTCGATAGGAAGGAGAGGCGGAGGAGAAGCAGGAGGAGGAGGAGGACGAGGAGGAGGAGGAGGAGGAGGAGGAGGAGGAGGAGGAGGAGGAGGAGGAGTGGGAGGTGGAGTAGTATGAGAGGCCTGGGCGGCAGCGGGCGCCGTGGCCTTCGCCGCGCAGTCCAGGATCTCGGCCCCTCGGGCTGCAGGTCGCATCCCTCGCGCATCGCATCGTCGGTCGCTCCGCGGCCGTCCCAGCCGCGGAGCAGCAGCGACACGAGGAGGCGGAGGCGGTGGAGGAGGGGGGCGCGGCGTCGCTGGTCTTCGTCTGGCCTCCAGTGGCCGACGCGGTGGCCGCGAGGTTGCGAAGCGAGGCGAGGAGGCGGAGGAGGAGGAGGAGGATGACGAGGAGGAGGAGGAGGAGGAGGAGGAGGAGGAGGAGGAGGAGGAGGAGGAGCAGCAGCAGGGTGCCTCTGCAGAGGCCTGTGAGGGGTGCGCGGAACGGAAGCGAAGCGGGGGGGCGGGGGGCGGAGGAGGAGAGGCTTCCGGCGGGGCCGGACGGCGCGGGCACGCGACGAAGAGGCGGCGGAGTCGGAGCACGAGGCCGACGGGGGAACAGAACGCGACGCGCGGGCGGTCGCCGTCTTTCTCCCCCCCCCCCCCGGTGGCCGCCGAGGTTGGGGCGCGCCCGCTGCGCGCTCCTCTCTGCTCTCGGTGCCCCGCGCGCGGCCGCCCGCCCCATCGCCCAGCCTGCCATCCCATCCGCTCCCCCTCGCCCTGCAGGCTCTCTCCCGCCGCCGTAGGGTGCCTGGCTAAACGTGGCGGACAGAGCGTGGAGCTTAAAACAACTCTCCCTGGCCCCCCCCCCCCCTTCGCATCCTGCTCGCCTCCCCTTCCCCCCTCGCTCCCCGTCCTCGGCCCGTGGCCCCGCCCGCCCCGCCCCCTTCGTCCGAGCCCCCTGTTTTTGCTCCTCATCCACCCTGTCGGCCCCCTGAATCCTTCTCGTTCTCCTCGTCGTGTTCCCCCTCCTCCTCTGCATCTTCATTATCATGAATCATCCATCCCTCCTCCTTGGGATTTCTCCTCCTCTCTCCTCCTCCTCCTCATCATCATCATCAGCAGCATCACCACAATCAGCATCATCATCACCATCAGCATCATCATCATCATCATCACCAGCATCGTCATCATCATGATCATCATCATCGTCACCATCATCATCATCATCATCATCATCATCATCACCATCATCACAACTACCAGTTTAAATATTATGATACTCGCCACCATCGACATCGGCACCATCAGTATCATCAGCATCGTCGTCAGCAGCATCATCATCATACACAGCATCGCCATCTGTACCACCATCAACATCATCATCACCCTTGTCACCATCATCGTGCCATCATGCAAGCATGCCGTACTCGTGACGACCAACGACACCATCATCAGCATCAGTATCAACAGCACCATCCGCACCACCCACATCATCATCACCATCAGCATCATCACCATCATCACCATGATTGCTATCATTCGTTTATTTTGATCGTAAATCTGGTTCTTCGTATTTTGGGCAGTATTCGTATTATCATTATTATTATTATGATTATTATTACTATTATTATTATTCTTATTATTATCATTATTAGTATTATTAGTAGTATTATTATTATCATTATTATTATTATTATTATAATTATTATTAATCTTATTCTTAGTATTATTATTGTTATTGTTATTGTTAGTGTTATTGTGATTGTTATTGTTATTGTTATTGTTGTTATTATTATTATCACTATTATGAAATATTCTTGTGATTATGAGCGTTGCTGTTCGTATTATCAGTTTGAATTATGTATGGATTGATTATCTGACCGTCGCCGTATTAATCAAGGGGGGCCAAGGGGCTTGCAGGGTCTTTTTCGGCAGCAGTTTTGACCCCTCTTGGGGAGCTGGAGCCTGTTGGGGGCCTCTGTGGGGGTCCTTGGTGCCTCTCGGGGGCCGTTTTAGAATCCCCTTGTGCCGTCTTGGGCGCCTCTTGGGCTGTCTTGGGGCCCTCTTGGGCCGTCGTGGGGGCCTCTTGAGTCCCCCTTGGGGCGATTTGTGGGCGTCTCGGGCCGTCTTGGAGCGTCGGGAAGGCGAGAAGTTGCTGATGCTGAACATGTACGGTTTACCAAGGGAATTTGGCGATGCGGGCCTCTTGGGGCTCCCTTGGGAGGCCTGTTGGGGTCTTTTGGGGCGAAAAAGGGGGCCTTTGGGATTGTCTTGGGGCCATCGTGGGCGTCTTGTAGCCCTCTTGGCTCAGCTTGGGGCCCTCGGGAAGCCATCAGGAGCCGCGCCTGGGACCCAGCGGCCCCCAGCGGGACGCAGGTCTAGCCGGATCAGTTTTCTATGTGTATAGGTACTCATGGTATTAGTTCAGCTTCATGTATTGTTCTTCGCATTATTGTTATTATTGTTCGCATTATTATGATGATTTCTGTCACCCTCATTGCTGCTGCAGTTTGTGCACCTCCTCCCTGCTCATCATCCCCCCTCCTCCATTCACCCTCCTTCTTTCCAGATTATCCCTTCTCCTTCCTCCTATTTCCTTCCTCTCCTTGTCCCTCATCCCCCGCCCTCCTCATCTCCTCCTCCTCCTCCTCCTTCTCCTCCTCCTCCTCCTCCTCCTCTCTCATCTCCTGCTCCTCCTCCTCCTCTCTCTTATCCTGCTCCTCCTCCCTATCCTCTTCCTCTCACTCCACCTCCCTAGCATGCGCACTCGTTGCCCGAGGGAGATGACAACATCGAGCGCGTATGGTACTCCCTCTCATTCCTGTTCTCCGTCCGTCTCCTTCAAGAAATGACGTCTGTCCCGGGACGTGCTCTGAGCAAGAATTCGAGGCGAATCTGGCCGCGGGGACGAGAAGCATTTCAGAGGCCTGAAGTAAGGGTGACCAAGGAGAAACAACCTGGCACACGCACAGTGGAAACCCATGCCAAGAACTACCCTGCTTGCCTCCAGGGTGCCCTTGGGTTTCCTGAGTGCCGGTGGCTTTGCGACGGGGGGCGTGACGTTCCCACACCAGACATCTGTGGACGCCCTGGGGTCTCAAGGCTGGGTTTCTTGTGGAAGGTCTCTTGTGGTCGAGCAAATTTGGCTCTTTTTGGCGAAAATCTAATATTTTTGTTTGAGTGATATTTTAAATCACCGCCGACAAGCAAATCCATACTGTCACACACACAGTAGAAACGAGCTTCGGGAGAAGAAAAGCAATGTAGGGGATTCTGGACTCTAAAATCCCTCATCGATTACTTGCAAGTGGCCAATTCACCAACATGTATCGCTCCTGCTGCAAGAGTGGCCCCTAACCAGGCGAGGGGGGGGGGAGGGAGGAGGGAGGAGGGAGGAGGGAGGAGGGAGGAGGGAGGAGGGAAGAGGGAGGAGGGAGGAGAGGAGGAGGAGGAGGGAGGAGGGAGGAGAGAGGAGGAGGAGGAGGGGAGGAGGAGGAGGAAGGAGAGGAGGAGGAGAGAGGAGGAGGAGGAGGAGGAGGAGGAGGAGGAGGAGAGGAGGAGGAGGAGGAGGAGGAGGAGGAGGAGGAGGAGGGAGGAGGAGGAGGAGGAGGAGGAGGAGGAGAGGAGGAAGGAGGAGGAGGAGGAGGAGGAGGAGAGGAGGAGGAGGAGGAGGAGGAGGAGGGGGTCGGCAGCGGCGGCCGCCGGGGAGGGAGAGGGCGCGAGGCACGGCCACCGCGGCCTCGGTGTCGCCGGCGCTCCCCGCGCGCGGAATGGGGGACAGCGAGGAGCGGCGGCGGCGGAGTGGTCCGGGCGCGTCCCGGGGAGGGGCGAGGAGGAGGGAGGAGGGAGGGAGGAGGCGAGGAGGAGGGAAGGAGAGAGGAGGAGGAGGAGGGGAGGAGAGGGGGAGGGGCGAGGATCGGGGAGGAGGAGGAGGAGAGGAGGAGGAGGAGGAGGAGGAGGAGGAGGAGAGGAGGAGGAGGAGGAGGAGGAGGAGGAGGAGGAGGAGCGGTCCCGAGGAGGGGCGAGGAGGAGGGAGGAGGAGTGCCCCTCGAAGCAGGGGCGTCGTCGGAGTGGTGGGGGCGCGCGGAGGCGGGGGCCGCGCGCCCATGCCCCCGCCTCTCTCTCTCCGGGCCTGCTGGTTCTTTTTGTTCCTCGCCTTCCTTCCTCGTTTTCTCCTTCGGTCTTGATCGGCGTGAGGATGAGAGGCGGCTCGAAAGGGTCTGGGGCGCGGGGGGTCCCGTTTTTTTGTTCGGGGGGGAGGGGGGGGGGGGCAAGCCCAGGCCCGGCAGGCCGCAGCGCTCGCACCGGGCGCCACGAGATGTGCAGGCCGCCGCACCACAGGGGGCCGCTTTTTTGGAGGGGCGGGGGGCACTCCTCGATCCTCCCTCCTCCCACCTCGCACGTCCCTGGATCCTCGATCCTCCGTCCTCGATCCTCCGTCCTCGGTCCTCGATCCTCGATCCTCCCTCCTCGCACACTCCTCGATCCCCCCTGGGCCCCAGGGTTCACTTCCGAGCCCGCTCGGCCGTCGACCGGGGGCCGCCTGGGCGGGCGCAGTGCCGACGGGGCCGCGGCGGCGGAGCCTGCGGGTGGCCCGCCGCCGAGCGGGCCCGGGAGCCCCAGCCCGCTCGGCGGCGGAGCGGGCCGAGACGCAGAGCGGGTTCAGAAGGGGACCCCGGGGGCGCAGGGGGGGTTTGGGAAAGGGGGGGGGGTTCGAAATCTGCTCCATGCAGCTGGTTTCGGCCCCACCGAGGGGCCCATTCCTCGATACATGGCCGCCTCCTGGCGCCGGGAGGCGCCGGGAAAATCAGATTCTAAAACACCCCCTTTGCTATCCCCCCCTTTCGCCCGGCCCGAGTTCAGAAGGGGACCCCGGGGGCGCAGGGGGGGTGGAGGATCGAGGTGCAGAGTTCCTATGGATACCTTTTTTTTGGTCGGCGGCTCCAAGGCAACGGTCAGGGAGCGAAAGCGGCGTCCGGGAGGCGGAACGGGGCGAATTTGCGAACAAAGCCGCCAGTGTCGGCGGGCAAGTTCGCACCTGCAAGACAAGCTCGCAGTTGCACATGCACAGAACATAAGATCTCTTCCTATGGATACGCGCAGTCGAGGAGCGAAGGGCGAGGATCCGGGATCTAGGTTCCAAGGGGCGCCGCCCCTCCCCCTGGGCGGACCCCTCCCTGGCACGCGCGCGTATCGCGCCCAGCCTCCCCCTCCCCCTTCCAAGAGGCCGACGAGTACGTGCAGCTCTTCTGCCCTGGCCAGATCGTGTGGATCTACGGCGACTGCGGCGCGATGCGTGCCGCCGACGTGCCCTGCGACGCCCCGGTCATGCGGCGAGTGATCTGCGACAAGCGCATGATGAAGGACAGGCCGTGCCTGGGACTGCGCGCGGGCATTGGGGGCCTTGAGACGGGGGTCAGTGCAAACGGAGTCAGCCAGAGCGCTGGGTCTTACAGGATCCTGCGCGTCCAGGGGTGCATTGACCAGGGCTAGCGCGCAGGATCCCGTGGGATCCCGCAGGATTTCGCAGGATCCTGCAATGCCCGACTGACCCAGACTTGGATTGACCCAGGCCAGTGGATCCCCGAAGGCAGTCCCAGCACGAAGGAAAGCTGCTGCGAGGGGAACAGCAGCTTCTCCTGAGTTGTTTCCCTGTCTTCGGACCCTGGGCGCCCTCTGGGCCCCAGGGGCCCTGCAAGAACCGCTTCAGGCTGGACAGCTGGTCCCATGGGAAAAACCGAGGTCCAGGACCCGTTTCCCTCGGGACTCGCTCGCCATGGCCCCGGGGAAGAGGAGGAGGAGGGGGAGGAGGGAGAGGAGGAGGAGGAGGAGGGGGAGGAAGAGGAGGGGGGGTAGGAGGAGGAGGAGGAGGAGGAGGAGGAGGAGGAGGAGGAGGAGGAGGAGGAGGAGGAGGAGGAGGAGGAGGAGGAGGAGGATCCCCGTGCCGCCGACGTCGGCCCCCCCTTGGGGACGCGCCGCGCCTCAAGCGAAGGTGCAGGCTGAGGCCGCTCCAGGGTTTCCTTGGAGCCTGTTGAGGCCAGCCGGGACTATCTTTAGGTCGAGCATGTCCCCCTACAGGCGGACCTTGGACGAAAAAATGCAAAGTATGGAGACACGAATAAAAAACACAATCAAGCACACTAAAAGCAGATCAGAGTGAGGGGGCCGAACGGCCATTCATTGTCCCTGGGTGCGTGCCTGAAGTGGGGATCCGTGGTGAGGATTATGGTTGTTGCGTTGTTGCGTTGTTGTTGGCGGTGGTGTTGTTGTTGTTGTTGGTGGTGTTGTTGTTGTTTTTGTTGGTGTAATTGTTGTTGGTGTTGTTGTTGTTGTTGTTGTTGTTGTTGTTGTTGGTATTGTTGTTGTTGTTGTTGTTGTTGTTGTTGTTGTTGTTGTTGGTTGTTGTTGGTTGTTGGTTGTTGTTGCTGTTGTTGTGGTTGTTGTTGTTGTTGTTGTTGTCGTTGTCATTGTTGTTGTTGTTGTTTTGGTTGTTGTTGTGGTTGTTGTTGCTGTTGTTGTTGCTGCTGCTGCTGTTGTTGTTGTTGTTGTTGTTGTTGTTGTTGTTGTTGTTGTTGTTGTTGTTGTTTGTTGTCGTCGTCCCACCCGCGACTCCAGCCGCAGCCCAGCTCGCGACCCATCCGCGACCCACCCGCGACACACCCGCGACCCACCTGCGACTCACCCGCGACCCACGCCGCGACCCAGCCGCGACCCAGCCGCGACCCAGGCGCGACCCACTTGCGACCCACCCGCGACCCAGCCGCGACCCAGCCGCGACCCATTTACGGTCCACCCCCGACCCACCCGCGACCTATCCACATTGGTTAACGAACAAAATCGGCGCCTGCGGCGGGCTCGTTGTATAATTCGTGAAACGTCGGCGCCTGCGGCGGGCTTCTCCAGAGTCTCGCAGACTGCCGACGTCCCCACCGCCCCCATCACTCTCATCCGCATCCTGCGGGGTGCTACGTGGACAAATCTCCCCCAGAGCATGTTTTGAACTTTTTTTTATTCCTGTAGAGGGACACGCCCGACTTAAGCTTGGCATCGCTCGGACGTGTGCATTTTTCCTTCGGCGAGGACCCTCGAGGAGCACCCTTGATCATGTGGCGAAACAGCCATGCACGACACCGAAAAAGACACAGGGAATGGACGTCCGAGCGATGGCCAGTAAGACTATCTCTCAAGGCTGCCCGTGCACCCGTGGACGGGGGGAGTAAACCAGCGGGGAGTGTGCAGCCGCGCGCGCCGCTCCGCACCTTCTCTGGGGCCAGGGCCAGTTTTGGGGGGCCCCGTGTTCGGGGTCGCTCTCCTGCAAGCCCTCAAGCCTCCCCCTTGTTCGGGTCGAGCGAGAGGAGCGGGATGGGGAGAGGGGGGGTACTTACAACATCTGGAGTGCCTCTTCCTCCTCAGAGCTTCTCCGCAGGTGGCCTTGTGAGGGCTTCCAGGAGCCGACATCGGCGAGACACTGTCGTTTGGAGGGATGCCAAAATGTGCCGAAACCGCTGCTCCCCAAACCTCTCCTGGGGTTCTTCCTGACAATGATTTCGAGGCGAATCCAGCGGTGGGGACGAGGGCCTCCCAGGAGACCCCAAAAGGCGAAAACGAGGCAAGGGTAGCAGCATCGGTACTCCGGATGTCACCACGAAAGAGGGGTGATCTGGTTTGGAAGGGGGTCTGATTTGAGCTGCCTGTCAGGGTTCCAGTGGGGTCTGGGCAAAAGACTGCCCCTTCATGGCTGGTCTAGGGAAGGGTCTAAAACTGGTCGTCTGGGAGGGGTTATGCCCCACCTCCATTTTCTTACGACATCTGGAGTACCTCTTCCTCCTCAGAGCTTCTCTGTTTTGGATACGTTGGATGTCGACCCGATGTTTTGTCCTTCCGCTGCCATTTTGCGCGCGGCCCCGAACCTGTCGGGCCGAACGAAAAGGGGGGGATGGGGAAAGGGGGGGTACGAAATCTGCTGCATGCAGCTGGTTTCGGCCCCGCCGCCGGTCCCATTCCTCGACACATGGGCGCCTCCCGGCGCCGGGAGGCGCCGGGAAAATCAGCTGCGTGAGCTGAATCTCAAACCCCCCCTTTGCGCCTGGCCCGAACCAGGAGGAGGAGGAGGAGGAGGAGGAGGAGGAGGAGGAGGAGGAGGAGGAGGAGGAGGAGGAGGAGGAGGAGGAGGAGGGGGGGAAGCAGGACCACATGGCCAGGTCCTACCACGGCGCGCTGGTGGCCGTGAAGGCGGCCCGCTCGGCGAGCCGCGAGGTGCCCTGGCAGCCGTTCTCGGAGGCCGTCGGGGGGGGGCTCGGCGTACACATTGCTCATTCCTACTTCTTCGAGAGCTCTTTGAATTTTCTGGGGGGCAAGATCCTTTCATTCCTAATCGTTCTATCCTGGGCTCTTCCTGGCCACTAGGGGGCCAGGGACAATTGGAGACGAGCAGAATCAGAAATGAGCACGATCAGAAATGAATAACGTGTATGTCGGTGGCCACACGCGAAGCCTACCCCCACCCCCCACGATTTCGAAAGGGTGGGTGGGGGTTCACTTCGTTCGGGAGCTCCCGAGCGGAGTGAGCCCCCACTCCCCCTTTCCAGATCGTGGGGGGTGGGGGTCGGGTGCACCTGTGGCCACTCAGCAGACACCTCGGAGGAGGGCCAGTGCTTCGAGGCGTGGGGTCTTCGCACGCTCTCGTCTGACCCCAACCTCGGGGGTGCGGGCCAGCAGCTGCGCCTCGCCGAGAGCCCTCTTGGGGTGCCTGCACCGTCCAGGACGGCCGCCGGAGAGCCGAAGCATGACCCGACAACCAGTGGGCAACGTCGGCGACGCATGCTCCTCCGGTTGGAGGAGGGCCAGCCGAGACAGCGGCGGGGCTATCGGGTTGACCCAAAAGGGGGTCCAGCGACAAGGGGGTGGTGCAATAGATTTGGTGCAATAGATTTGTGGGGTTGCAATGCATTTGAGGTGTGCAGTACATTCCGGGGCGCAAATGTATTGCTGGACTCTCGCGTGCAATCAATGACTTGCAATACAATGCAATGCACTTCTCTGGCGCAATACATTTGCAAAACAATTGCCCCAAATCTGTTGCACCACCCCCTTTCAGCTGGACCCCCTTTTGGGTCACCCAAAGGCTACCCTGTCGCTCCCTCCTGCTCTTTGGGCCTCCTGGAGGCTTCTCTTCGCCACGCCTGGACCCGCCTCCCCAGACATCCGGCTGCTCCAAGTTTCTCGGTGCGTGGGCCCCGGAGGTCCGGACCGCTTCCCGAGGACGGGCGGGGCTGGGCCTCAACGGTGTTTTGGCGATTTCGTGGGCCGTTTTCGTGTCGTCTTCGTTTTGCGGCAGAGGTGGATTGAAGACAACGCAAGGGGAAAAACGAGCACAAAACGAACACGAAAAACACCGCTTCGGTTCGGCCCTGAGGACCGGCTTTTAGCCCTGAAGCGTTTTTGGATGCTCCCGAGGCCCGGCGGGGGCCCCAAGAGGCCGAACACTGCCCAAGGCCCGCTGCTCCCATTTTGTTGGAGCGGCGGAGCTCTGGGTCGGGAAACGAGCCAGGATTTCAGCCACGCGCAGAGGGGGGTGGGGGGAAGGGGGGAGGGCTTCTTAGGAGCACCCCTGCTTCTTAGACGGCGCGGGCCTCATCTATAGATGTAAGGCCGGCGCCTTCTGAGAAGCAGCCTCCATCTAAGAAGCCCTCCCCCCTCCCCCCACCCCCTTGTCTTGGCATCGCTCGGACGTGTGCATCTTTCCTTCGGCGAGGACAATTGAGGAACATCCCTGATCATTTGGCGAAAAAACCACGCACGAAACCCAAAAAAGCACAGGGCATGGACGTCCGAGCGATGGCGAGCTGTGCGCGCCGACAGAGAGCAGTTTTGAGCGGACTGTGGGCTGGGCGGGAGGGCCGCCGTGTGTCCCAGTCGGCCCCTCCGCTCCGAGGCGTGCACGCGCCACGCCGTCCTGCTGTCGGCCAGGGAGCCCAGGGAGCACAGGGAGCCAGCGTGGGCCCACCACACAGCGCTTTCGGGTCGAGCTTGGCTGCACGCCTGCTCGGCGAGAGAAGTGTCGCGTCGTGTATCGGCTTCAGCAAAGTCCGGGCGACAAAGACTGACGATATTCATGTACGTTTGTAGATATTCACGTGCCTATGCATGTATCATATATAACGTATGCGGTGCAATACGCGTGGTGCAATCGAGGTGGTGCAATCCATGCTGTGCAATGCATGCGGCGCCGAGCGACGCAAACCACTGCACAGCACGGCAGAGCAGCGCAAATGATGCGGCGCGGCGCAGTGCAATGCAACACCATACCAAGCAATGCGATGCGACTGCAAAGCAACGCGACGCAATGCAACGCAATACCAAGCAATGAATAGCAATGCAACGCAAAGCAAAGCAATATAAGTCACGCAGCGCGATGCAACACAGAGCAAAGCAACACCAATCAATGAAAAAAGCAATGCAAAGCAATGGACAATAACGCAACTCAGTTCAAATCATTGCCAGGCAATGCAGAACCAATGCAACGCCATGCAAATCAATGCCAAGAAACGTAAGGCAATGCAAACCAACGTAACGCGATGCAGCGCAACGCAAGGCAATGTAACGCAATGCAACGCAAAACGAAACAATCAGACGCAGTGCGAAGCAATGCAAGGGAATGCGAAGCAATTCGCAGCAATCTGAATCAATGCCATGCGAGCGCAAAGCAATGAGAAGCAACGTAAGTAACGCCACGCAACTTAATGCGACTCAAAGCAAGGCAAAGCAATGCAGAGCAATGCAAGGTAATGCACGGGAATGAAATCAGTGCAAAGCAATACGAAGCAACGCAAAGCATCGTAAAGCAATGGACAGCAATGCAAAGCGATGCACGTCAACGCAACCGAACAGCAATGCAAAGCAACTCAATGCAACACATTGTAATGTAATTGAAGGCAGTGCAAAGCAAGGCAAAGTAATGCAAACCAATTCAAATGAATGCGAAGCGATGCCAAACAGTTTTTTGATGCAAGCATATGTAGAGCAGCACGAAGCAATGCAAAGCAATGTAGCGCGATGCGAAGCAATGCAAAGCAGTTCAAAGCAATGCAAAGCAACGTAAGTCAATTCAAAGCAACGCAAAGAGCAATGCGAAGCAATGCGAAGCAATGCGATGCAACCAAATGCGATTGCAGCGCAAAGCAATCCAGCGGCGGAAGCGGCGACGGCCGGCGACGAGCCGGACCGCCACTGGGACTTAGTTACCAGCTGCGACGGCTGCGGCGACGGACGGCCACGAGCTGGCCAGACCGACAACTACAGTCAACCCGCATAGTAAGGATGGGCAACCTTCCCAAGGGTGCCCTTGCATCCTTGCCCCTTCGGCCCATGCTTGGCCACTTTAGTTGGCCAACCTCGCTCGAAGAACGCTAACGTGGTCCTCCAACACCCTTGCATCCATACCGCGCATCCTTACCGCGCCAGACCGACAACTAGGCCCAGTTCCTTAGAAGATGCGTCGGAACCCCCTAAGTGCAAGCACTGTTGGGCGAAGTCCGAAGAAGAAAATTCAGCACAAACATACATGTTCGGAGCTCTGCGCGGATTTATTGGATCGGCGTTGAGTTCCCCTGGGAGCGCCTCCGGCGCTGCCCCCTGGCGCGCTCGGCGCTGATCCACAAAATCCGAGACAGTCTACGAACATTTGGAACTATATCCATCCTTTGGTCTGTATGCACCACGCTGTTTGGTCGGCCAAGTAGTCACTGAAGGCGGCTAAGGATTTCGGTGTAGACGCTTCAGTATCCACAAGGTTGGGGAAGTCGGGGCGTCTGTGCACTGAGCCCCTTGGTCGACCAGACGGCGTGGTGTGTACTCCGAGCCCCTCCCAGGCTGGCGACGCTTGCCCCTGCTGCCACAGCAGATACGACTGGAACAGCACATCCCGCAGCAAGAAGCAGCGGTCCCTCTCGATGACGAACTGCCGCGCCTGCGGCATGGTCGTCTGCACCAGCTGCGCGGGCACGAGGCAGGCGCTCCAGGACCCGAAGAGATAACCATTTGCAGAGAGGTGAGGTAGAACCTTTCGGAGGTCCGCGCGGAGTTCTTGAATCGGCGTTGGACCCCTTGGACCCGCCCTCCGATGGCGCGCGGAGTACACCAGGGGCGGCGCTGGAGGCGCCGCCAGTGGGGGCTCGGTGCCGACACAACCCCAGCACGGCCCCGGGGCCCGAAGGCGTCTTCCAGGCTTCAGGTACAACAGAGAACTTGATCCTCGATCCTCCTCCGTCCCTTTCATCCTCGATCCATCGTTGTCAAAGTTGACGTGCAGTAGACACGTACGATATAAGACATCTTGCTAAAAGGAATCTGCGGGCACGCTTGTCGGGCCCCAGGGGCATCTGCTGGAGCTCCCCGAGGGGCCCCAGGGCTCCTGTGGCCCCTAAGGGCCGCAGGCACTTCCGTGGGGAACATGCTGGAAGGCCGTTTTCTGATACCTTATAGGTCGAAGAGCCTTGGAATGGGGCTGGAAGCATAGCGTAGCATAGCATAGCACAGCATAGCGTAGCATAGCATAGCGCAGTATAGCATAGCATAGCATAGCATAGCATAGCATAGCATAGCATAGCATAGCGCAGCATAGCATGGCATAGCATGGCATAGCATGGCATAGCATAGCATAGCAACTAATGCTGCTTTCCTAGGGGCTCCAATTTCTAGGTAGGGTCGCACTGGGGTAATCTGACACCCTATAGGTCGAAGGGCCTTGGAATGGGGCTGGACACCTCTTCATGGCGCGCCGCCAGGGCGCTCCAGCGCCAATCCAAGAGATCCGTGCAATGTTCCGAAAGTTTCTGTTTATGGGATACTTGGCATCGCTCGGACGTGTGCATTTTTTTCTCGGCGAGGACCATCGAGGAGCATCCTTGATCATCTGGCGAAAAAACCACGCACGAAACCGAAAACAACACAGGGAATGGACGTCCGAGCGATGGCCAGGATACCGTGAGGAACATTTCCTCCGCGTGTCGCTCCGCCAGCTCCGGCCCGCAACGCTTCAGTGCGACAGGCTAACCACGTCCCAGTCTCTGGTTGTCGACGTCCTGAGCTTTCCCCTGGCTATTCGCTCGCATGGCATAGCGTGTCGCCGGGGCCGCCGCTGACGCACGCTGAGCAAACGTTCCTCACCGCAAGCAACTTATGCGGGGCACCAGTCGGCAGGCCTGTTTCATATTTGATACGACGACTGTATCGAAGACGCCTACAACGAATCACAGCCGCACCTGTCTCTTCGGAGATTACTTGGGGGAGGATGAGGGGGAGGATCGGGAGAGGGAGGAGTCGGAGGGGCGCCAGCCTGTATAAAGGCCTGGGCGGTTTCAGCGTTCCATCTCAGCTCCTCTCTTCGTCTTTCTGCCCTCAGCCTTCTTTCTCACCTCCTTCAGTTAATTTCGTATTGTGCTCTCTCCTTCCCACTTCTCCTCGTACTCTGTCCTCCCCGCCCTCCCACCCCTGTATTTTCACCCCCTTCTCCCATCCTCCCTCATTACCTCCGCTTCTAGAATGCTCGTATACCTGGTCCTGGCTACTTCTTAAGAAAACGCTTGGAGTGAAGTTTATTTTCTGAGCCTCAGATCTTCTTAACTCTAAGCAAGGGTGCATGGCTTCGCGATAAATTGAGACACCCTTAGTAATCATGACTGGAGCCCTATACCCCATCTGTGTGCGCCATTTTTCGAGCCGGATCGATCTGTGAGGGTCCCGGACCTGACCGCTCGGCTCCAAACACTTGAGGCGCCATGATCGCACGGAACATTGTATACCGATGCCGTCAGGACGTTGGCATCGTCGCCCGTGGACTGCACCTTGAGCGTCTTCTTGGAGCCTCTTTTCTTCGTAAAATGCTGTTGCACCTGGACCTGGGCTACTGCTTAAGAGTGCGCTCGGAGCGAAGTCGACGCTCTTAGCGTAAGAGTTCCCTTAACTCTAAGCAGGGCTGTGCCCCAGGCCTGGTCCATCCTGGGCCCAGGAGGGCGCACGCACACCGAGCCTGGGCCCAGGAGGGCCGGGGCTCGGGGCAATGGACGTGTACCTGCCTCTTCGCTCTGCCCGGGGGACCCGGAGATCCTGGCGCTGCAGTTTTTCTTGTCACGGCGGGCGTGTTCGCCCAGCTTCGGGCCCCATGGGACCCTGACACACCGCTCGGGCTCGAAGCATGACGCAGGAAGATGGGGGCCGGGGCTCCGGTCGTGATGTTTTGCGGGCCCTGGGGCCCTGACACGCCGCTCCGGCTCGAAGCGTGACGCGGGAAGCTGGGGGCCGGGGCTCCGGTCGTGATGTTTTGCGATGCGTTGCCTTTTTTTGTGCGGCCACGCCGGCTCTCAGGCGAGAGTGCGGCAGGCTCGCGTCGTGTCTCGGCGGCGAGCGA